GGCGGGCGCAGCGAGTCACAGTGACATCAGCAGCTGCAGCTACTAATGTCACTGTGACATGGGGCCTGGCTCGTGCCGGAGCTGATGGGCTGGGCCCCCTGCAGGGGCGGCGGTCTGGGCACGGCCAGGGGCTGCCCTCAGGGCCCATTGGAGGTTTGTCCACTCGAGCCTCAACAGTAGCTGCAGAGCTTTTCAAAACGTACAGGCTGGACAGGGGGGCTGGTGCCCCACCATGCTCATGGGCGTATGCGACAACCCCCTCCCCCGCTTTGATGAAGCAGAACCATCATAATGTTTTCGCCACAATCATTGTCTCTTTGTAGCTGCATAACACCCCCTTGGACATGCGCCCCCACCCCGGTCCCCCCCAGGCGAGCTGGTGACGGAGTACGAGGCGTCCCCCCACCTCAGGGGCATGCCCATGCCGGAGGTGCAGCACTACATGCAGGTGGGCGGCGCGGCCACGCGCCATGAGAGGCTGGTTGACCTGTGTGTTGGCCCCAGTACCCAGCGCGCCTGCACAGGGCGCGTGAAGCAGCTTTGGCTTGTGGAGCCGCTGCGCGTTGCTGTGTATGTGCCGCGCCGCCTGGAGTGCGCCCTGCTCAAGATGCCCATCGCTTGCAGCCGGGCGGGCGTGGGGTGCAAGCAGGGCGTCCAGGGGAACGCAATGATTCCTCTTGCATGTGCAGGCCAGCGGCTCCTGCCTGGCACCAGGCACACCGCCCCCCAGCTGCCAGGGTGAAGCTCCCCCCCCCCCCCCAAGCTGCCAGTGTGCAGCCAAATAGCAGGGCGCGACCATGGGCCCCACACCCATATGGCTCCCTTCCTTGTCTGTTCACCTCCCCCCCAACACACACACGCACGCACACACATACACATACACATACATACATGCGCACACACAACCCCACCCCTTGCAGCACATGCGCCACTACACCTTCCGCCGCCTGACAGACCAGCGGGGTCCCGCCGCCACGGCCTCCAAGGCCCGCGGCGTCGCCCCCGTTGCCGCAGCAGCGACAGCAGCAGCTTCCCATCCCGGCGCCCTGGGATCAGGTGCCCCAGGCAGCGCGGGGATCGAGATGGTCGGGCCGCCCTCCTCCCTGGCGGGCGGCGGCGGCGGCGCAGCTGCAAACGGCGCGCCGACGGCGGCCAACGATTTGGTCAACCCTTTCGCTGACCAGAGCAGGGCGGGCGCTGGCGGGTTCTCGACGCTCAACCTGTGAACGGGCGGCGCGCTGGCAGCGCTTCTGCTAGTGCTCAAATGTGCATGTGGACACGCAGGGTGCATGAGCATTTCACCTCCCTGCCTCGACCCCCGCACGAGGGACTGCCCTCGCGCAGCCCCTGCCCAGGGGCGGCGCGAGGTGTCGCTGTCGTTGCCGTCCACCCACCAGCTGTCGTCGCCGCGGGGGGCTGCGCGTGCCCCGCCTGCCCGGCGGCCGTGTCGGCCGTTGCTGACACTCCTGACAGCAGGCCGCCGGGTGAGGTCCTGGCGGACCGTCTCGTGAGTCCAGCTTTCTAGCATGCTTCCCTTGTTGAATCTACACGTGCATTTCCAACACTTACACATGCCACCGCGGTGTCCATTGCCGCACGCGTCCGGCGAAGTAGTTTGCACCGTGTGGCTCCTGTCACCCGGGCCGGTGTGCTTAGTGTGCCGCGCCCTTGGCCCGTGCCGCGTGGCCGTCGCCCCCCGACCGCTGCCGCCACTGCGCTGCCGCCACCCGGCGGTCATCGCGCGGGTGATACCCACGCCGAAGTGCCGTTGGGCGGTGCACCCACAAGTCAATACAGCCTAGGTCATCCACTTTACGCACGCTCACTGTTTGGGAAATACCTAGCGCAGGCCTTAAAAAATGCTGCACTCTGTGACCCAGGATGAGCAGATGTTCGAGTGTTGCTGCTGTAAATGCATAAACTTTGCACGGGCTGCTGTTGTGCACGGCATGGACGCAGAGAGGAAGCCATTTACAAAAGGTTGGATTGGTAAATGTGCTCAAGCAGATGCCAATATGTGACTGCGGATGTGCAGTGCACTCGTGGTTGTGAGTGGGTGTCATTTGGCGTCGGTGGCCAAGCCGCAAGCAACACCACGCCTCGGCAACATACAGCAGAGGCTGCTTTGCGCAAGGACTGGCCACACATGGAGAAGGAAGGATAAGAAAGAAGAGGCATCAACTGCAAAGGAAGCAGTACAACTTGCAGAAAGGACAGATATGCAGGATGCCAGGGGCGAGCTGGTCAGAGTGGGCTTTGGCCTGCATAACATTTTGTGGTGGCGAGCGGCACGGGAAGGGGCGCACACACTTACCCTGGATGCGCCAAATCGGATGCGACAGCGCCACAAGGTGTTGATAATGTTCAAGGATCAGATGGCGATCTGATGTCACCCGTCAGACACTGCGCTTCTCACATTACAGTACGCGCAGTGCAAATAAGATTCCATAAACACAGAGCACCAGACAATTTTGTCGAGGTCCAGTGCGCCTGTCAGCAGCACTCGTCGTCCGCCGCACCCCCGCCCACGCCAGCGGCCGCTTGAACCTTGCCGCCGCCCCCCCGCTCCCCCCGGCTTGAGCGCCTTGCAAGCAGAGACAGGCGCGATCCTCCGACACGCGCGCCAGCCAGCAGCTTCTTGGCGCCTGCGCCCCTGAATTCCCGCCGCCGCCGCTGCAGCCACAGGCACGCCAGAATGAGGGACCCCACCAGCACACCCAGGCCCATCATCACCCAGAGCCCCGCCATCTGCGAGAGAGAGAGGCGTTCGAGCATCTTCCAGTGGGCTATCGCTCATCAGGTTGACGAGACACATGATGCCACAAAGCTCAGCATACGCAAGGCGCTCACGGCACACATGTGTGTCCTGCAAACCAGCTGCGCATGGGGTGGGTTGTGGCCTGTCAGTTCTGAGGCCTCCTCACAAACCAGGGTTGTGGCCATCAATAAAGAGGGTCGTTCGCGCAGGTCGTTTGCGCGGCCAGACCCACCCACCCACCCACATATCCACAAATTGCTTGGTACGCATGGGGTGATGGATGCCGGCCTCGCGGCGCACACTCCCCTCACCTGCTCCAGCGTGATGGTGTTCCCGCCGCGCACGCCGTCGCGCTTGCAGCCGGCAACGCCCAGCCGCAGCACGTGGATGTCCCTCAGCCGCTCGGCCCTGCCCTCCTCCACCATCTCACGAATGGCCCTGGGCGGTAGCGGGCAGCAACGGGTGCAGTGGGTTTGGGGCTCGTATATAGAAGCACAGGGTGCGGCTGGCGGCGTGCAAATGTGCGCACGTGTTGCCATGCAAAGCAGCACCGCGAGGCAAGATAGCTCATGGAAGAGCTCGCCCGAACCAGGTGTCACAAAAATCAATTCCTTTTCTACCCCGCTCAGAGTGCATATCCAGCCTGGTGGCTTCCTGGCAATGGGGCCGCTCCAGAGCGGTCATGTCGTCAGCCCTACATCATCACCCAACCCCGTCCACGTCGCCGCAGGACAACAAATCCCCAAGCAACAACCCGCATTTATTGTGCATGAGCAAGGAAAGTGTGTGCAATACGACTTTCCCTCTCCCCCACCCACCCACCCACTTGTTGATGTCTTCCACAAGGGGGGCCTGCATGTTCAGGGCCAGCCCAAACACGTTGTCGCTCACGCCGAAAGGCAGCCCCACGGCGGCAAACTCGCACTGCGTTGAGGCTGTGTGCAGGGGGGGGGGGATCCACGGGGCAGCGATGGCTTTGGCCTCCAGGCTGAGGCCCCAGGGCACAGCGGCGTGTGATGCAAGCTCGGCTCAAGCGGTGCTGCTGGGCGGTAAATGGTTCGGCTCCACCGTTTGCAGTGCGTCATTCACGTCTGCTGACAGCGGATCACCATAACAGAAGCGACAGCAGGTAGTTACTAGCGACCTTAGTGAGCACGGCTTGGCCGCTTTTGTCGGCGCGGCTCACCAGTGTAGTCCACAAAGTTCCTGTTGAGCACGAGGGCCGCCACTGATCCCTTCCTGAGTTTGTTCAGCATCGCGCCCTCGTCCTCTATGGTGTCCCTGGGTGTGGGAAGTGCATGTGTAGGTGGTGCGCAGGTGCAGAGCGAGTCGCGGGTGGGTGCTGGGGGTTCGGAACAGGGTGGGCCGAGTTGAGCGTGGGGCGGGGGCGCCCTGCCGCTGGAACGGTCCCTCAAGAAGTGCCCCCCGGGAGAGGGTTTGTGGGTGCTTGGTAGTTTTTGCGCTGAAGCAACGGGCAAGGGTGAAGGCAGGGAATTGTTGGGGGAAGGTGTTATGCAAATACGGTGCTGAGGGCGGAGCAGCGACGCGCATCTTACGCATCAACCTCGTCCGCTTGCCTCGTCAGCAACTGGATGTGCTCAAGTGTGCATTTCACAAAGTACCGCTTGCTCACCATTTGATGCCGATGGCCTCGATGCCCTGGTCGCTGAGCCGATGCTGATAGTCGGTCCTGAGTGGCGTGGCGGGTCAAAACGCTGTTGTTTGACCAGGGCTTGCCTCACGGGCACCATCACGGCACGATTCTCGTTGGAATGCTTCGGTCACTCGCTCGTGGTCCCTGGCGGCTCAAAGGATGGATTGAGCCTGTCACGCGGCCGGGGACAGGTGCATGCAACGCGCTAAAGGACAAGCGCGCGGCACACCGACGCATGCGTTTTGTGAGCGCGGCGTCAGCCCTCACCACGTGCCCACCGCCCTCCCCTTGAGGTCGTCGCGCCCCCTTATGCCGCCCGTGAGCTGCGCCGCCGTCAGCCGCGCGGCGGTGCCGGCGGTGTAGACGGCCACAATGATAATCAGCAGGATGCCGCTGGGGGGTTGGGGGGGCCGACGGATGCATGGATGGGGCAGCAGCTGGGTTGCCATGATCATTGCCGACGCCTGGGTTGGGACTGCAGGTTGCAGATTGGTGACATGGGATATGAGGGGCGGCAGCAGGGGGGTTCTATGACCGACCGCAAATTCGGCAAGCGCTACCACTCAAAGGTCTGGCGGTGCTGTGTGTGCCGCCCCAGTGCAACAGGTTGCCTGCTTACTAGGTGAAAAGGATGGCCTGGGCGGGCAGGCTGGTGGTGATAGGGGGGTCGCTCATGCGCGCAAACTTGAGCAGCGCGCGCCGTAGGTTGACGTCTGCAAAAAGGGTGGGGTCGGGGGCGATGTTGGGTCCAGGGGCCCGTCAATGCATGAGGCCCGGCCTCCCAGCGGGGCCAGGCGCTTTTGTGCCCCATGTCAATTCAAAAATTTGGCCAAGGTGTCGAGCCATCTGGGACTAGTGATGAGTGGGTTCCCTACCCTGATCGTCCAAGTATACACGTACAATGTGGGCTGTTGCGAGTGAGACGTTGAATTGGATTTCAGCAAACCGCTCACCGAGCAGTCTGAAGACGTCCTCCTCTTCTCCCTTGCGCACCCCAAGCACCCGCAGCGCCCATGTGTCCGAAGGCTCCTCCTCCTGATGCTGCTTCGCCCTTGCTGGCACCACGTGCACGACGTTTGCAATCGGGGTTGCTGCCGGCAGCGCCGCCGCTGTCGCCGCCCCGTTTGCGCCGGCGTCTGAAGGGGCACATGCCAGAGAAGCTGCCGGCAGCAGTGGCGGGACAACAACCACACCACGGTGGTGCCTCTTGAGCGCCGGCCGCTGCACAGACTTTGCGGCCACGTCGCAGCACACGACCGCGCCGCCGACAAACACGGCCGTGGCTGCGAGCGACAGCCAGAGCTGCCAGCTCAGCGCCTCAAAGGGGCTGAAGAGGCTGTGGGCAGGCTCCTCCACGGCCATGATCAGGATGCGCAGTGCTGCAGTACTCGGGTTGGGAGGGGGAAGGGGCAGGTGGGCTGGAACTCTACGACATTGTTGCGCATCAGGCTTCCAGCCCGGCAAACAATGATTCATCAGTTGCAAACAGCGCGCCTTAGACGCACATTCTTTGTCCACCACCCACGACGGTCGCTCGACGTCCGCCGCGCTGACGGCAGCCGGCGCAATTAGGCAGGTGCCTGCGTCAGGAGGCAGTGAGCGGGTGCGTTGCCTGAAGTTGGCCTCTTGGTGGGGCGTCTTGGCCCCCCTCATGCAGGGTCCACTTATTCCTGCAATCGGACCAGCGCTACCGACTCACAACACTGGACCGCGCGCCCCAGCACCCTCTGGCCGGGTCAGGTCAGCAGTAGGAAGTAATAAGGCAGCAGGGCCTCACACGATTGTTGACCCCCTCAAAAAATACGACAAAAGGCGGTGTGCGACCACAACGCGTCCAGGTGTTGATTTATGAAGCCAGCAGGAAGCCGGCTGAGCCGCAGAGCCCCCTGCACAGCATGCGGGTGGCCCCCACCGTTTGGGCTGTTGAGGTCCGCCAGCAGCTCTGTGTAGCCGATGCAGGAGAATGTCCAGGCCCGCGGGTCTGACAGCCAGTACACGCTGGCGCTGACAGCCCTGAACAGCTCGATCTGTCAGGTGGTGTCGGGGCGGGGGGTCGAAGGGGGAGGGGATGGGTGACGTG